AGAACCGCTGCCCTAGAGTCAGACACGATGGACAAGGAAACCTTTACTTTTACTCTTCTACGCTGGGTTGTATATTTCTCTCTATTGAAGGATAAGGAACTGTGCCAGAAATTTTTTTTAAAAATCCTTTTTCTTCTAAGGAACATTTACCAATGTTCTGAAAGGCAGCTCACAAATAATTGTACAAATTTTTATTAACTGGATTGTTCTGTGGTTTAACTTCCTCTAAGTGTGACAAACTCCAGAAGGCCACCATTTATGTAGCGGTTTGTAAGGAACAATGTAGAAGGGATTGAAAAAAGGTCCATGGAATGTCTATGAAAATTCTTATTATCCCAACTTGATGCACGAAGATTGTGACTATAGACCTCTACACAGGTTAAATAGCTATGTGACAGCACATCATCACATCCTTGCACAAATGATGCAACTACATAAGTTGCCTGAGTTCAGGTGCAGTTGACACAAATTATGCAACAGTACTATTTATGCACTGACACAATATCATTGTGATATCATCCTTTTTACACCAACGGAAGCTGCAGTCCAACTCATGAAGTGCAGAACTATAATTCTGTAGGTTGTTGTTGTTTGGCATAGTTTTCCACTCTCAAGAAGATGAAAAAAAGTAAAACATAAATGTAAAAGAAAAGAGATAAATTCTGCTTCACTCAACTTGCTAGTATTATTGAAATTATAAATTGTACACACCAAGGCTGCTATTAAATTTCACTGACTTCCTGAATTTGTTTTGTCTTTATACCCCTAAATTTGTTGTGTGTTTTTATTCCCATTTGGTATTCAGATTTAGGGTGAATTTAAGGCAGGTTTCGTGGCTTTCTAGAATCTGCAGGAATTGTGTTATTTGTTTTTACTTTTATTTAATCATATCAATCATGAAAAAATAAAGCTTCACTTTTTAAAAGTTGTAACTTAAGAGACAAGCAGATTGCGCAACAAAATTCAGAATTCAGCATTTTCAACTTGCTGAGTAATAATAATAATAATAGTAAAGTTGGAAGGGACCTTGAAGGTCATCTAGTCCAACCCCCTGCTCAGGCAGGAAACCCTATACCATTTCGGACAAATGGCTGTCCAGTCTCTTCTTAAAAACTTCCAGTGTTGGAGCATTCACCACTTCTGGAGGCAGGTTGTTCCACTGGTTAATTGCTCTCACTGTCAGGAAGTTTCTCCTCAGTTCTAGATTGCTTCTCTCCTTGATTAGTTTCCACCCGTTGCTTCTTGTCCTGCCTCCAGGTACTTTGGAAAATAGCTTGACTCCCTCTTCTTTATGGCAACCCCTGAGATATTGGAACACTGCTATCGTGTCCCCCCTCGTCCTTCTCTTCATTAAACTAGACATACCCAATTCCAGCAGACGTTCCTTATATGCTTTAGCCTCCAGTCCCCTAATCATTTTTGTTGCTCTTCTCTGCACTCTTTCTAAAGTCTCAACATATGGAATAGTAAACTATGTGGGCGTTGAATTTACCCCAACATTGAGCAAGAGAATTATTTTTATTTTTAAAAGTCCCACAGTTACTGCCTCTTAGGAATCTATGGGAGGTATGCTTTTCAATGGGACTTTAAAAAAAACACTGTAAAGCATTACTGAAGCCGACAGAAACATCAAACGCTTTAATCCAAGATCATATCGACAAAGAAACAAACGCATTTGTGGGATTTTAAACTGTAGGCGAGGAGTGGCTGTTGCAGGTTGATTGTAAGAAACCAGTAAGTCTAACTTGTTCTGAGTGTAATCAACCAAAGATAGGCACATTTGCATCTTAGCAAAGTGATGCAGCATTTTTTTTTCTTCTCAAGAAGATTCAAATGTAGGACTTTTTGCTTGCTTTTATGAAGTGAAAGTAGAGAGGGAAAGGAAAAGAGAAAGAGCAAATCATGCTTTCTGTTTTGGTCTTTTTCTGCATTTCTCCCTTGCTAGGTGATGGCCTCACTGCCACTTTTAATTTCCTGCTGTTGTTCCTCGCTGGCAGTCCTTTCTTTGCTGAGCAGCTATCTATCTCTGCTGCAAAACAGCCCGTCCAGACACCTCCATTGTAGCAACCACCCTATTGTAACCTGGGACTACAGTTCAGCATTGCAAATGCATTTACTTAATTAGAGAAATGGTTCCCATCGCCTACATGTAGCTGAGTCAAAAGAAGTGCACACCGTCAGCTTAATTTGGAGGGCCCCCAAAGTCAGTGGGGTTGGATATTTGGGACTCTTTATTTTTCATTCATTTTGGAACCACTGATGATTTGAAGAGCAGAGCACAGGCAGGCTGCAGATACACAAAGCGTTCCTTTCATTCCAGAATTCCCAGACAAGGGGCACCTGCAGAGAGGAGGGTTAAAAAGGTCGAGATGGTGGTCATGACTACAAGTTCAAAGCCCAACTTCTTTTTTATATAAGATGCACATAAAAAAAATGGCGGGGTTTTGATTGCATTTTTATTTTGTATTATTACTCCTCTTCTGCCCTGCACCTGATGTGCCATATTAATTTTGAGGTTGTGCATGCTGGTTTTT